ATAACTGCCTATTCTTAGACATGGTTTGATCAAGTTACAGCTGAATTTTCAAAATTATTATCAACGGATACACCCAAATATTTATCGAATGATTTCGATGATAAAATCAATTTACTTAAACGTGAAACCAATTATTTACTTAATAAAGCCCAACGATTTGTTCCAAAACCAAAACCAACAACAACGACGACATCAAAAGTACCAGTGAAAGATGAAACAAAAATCGAAGTAGAAGAAGAAGAAGATATATCAACTACAACTCCAATTCCTGAACAACAACAACAACCACAAGAAGAAGAGACTGATGAAACAACAACAACAACAACAGCTCAACCAATAACTGAAGGTATGGCATTTTTTTCTATTTTAAAATCTTGACCTATGATCTTTGATTATTATAGATGAACATCCAGAATTATAAATATTAGATTTCGTATTACAATCTTCATATTCATCATTCCATGTTGCGGTAACTGATAATACTAGTCAATTGTTCTTACTGTTGCTATTGTCGATCTGTTGTTCACCTAACTAATTTATTTCCGTACACTTTGTTTTCATTTCTTTTTAATTGTTATGATTTAGTTTAACATCAAATACAGAACATGTTTTACATTTTCTTAGTAGTATTTGTTTTCTTTTTCTGCTTTGTTGTTTATCCTAATGTGTGAGTGTGCAGCAAAACATTTGATTTATTAAGTTTAAAATAAAATTAACAACATCGAAGCCTAAATGTGATTTATATATAGTTGAGAGACGGATTTAATTGTTTATATTGCAATTCTTATCAAGTAAAACATTTTAGTCTGAAATATTATTAACAAATGAGTACTAAAAAACATTCCGGTATATTTATTTCTATGTAGAATAGCACAGCTTTTTCAAAGGCACAGACAGAAGGTAAGTTTTAGATTAACATTCAAAAAACTGATCATCATCATTTATTTTTGGCTTATTTTTTAAGCTAAAGATATTTTCTGTATACTTTGGATATGAATATCAAAAATCCTAATCATGTATTTAATGAAATACGTATAAAGTGATGTTCTTGTTGAGCATAATTGTGATTGACATCAGTTTTTCAAAGTGTACATGGTTTAAATCATTACTTTGACTGAAAGTGATGTGAATGTGGATGAGGATAGATAGGCGTCAGTATCCCTATTTTATCTTCACCATCTTGAGGGTGTGGGTGTCGACATAAGTTAGAATATTAGTGTGGTCGGTTGTGTTTCCTTTATACACCCACCCACACCCACACCCACACCCACACCCACACCCACACCCTCAAGAAGATGAGTGTGTGGGTGAGGTGGAGGGTAAGAAAAGGATACTGACACCTAGCTTTTTGTTATTTGCCTCATTGAGTAGTAGTAATGAGCGTTGAAAATATCCTTTTGTGAAATATTTTTCAATTTTCGTTCTTGATAAAATATTTCTTTAGTAAAGTATAAACATTGGTTGATGATGATTCCTTTGGTAAAATTGAAAATACATGAGGAATATATTTCAATACTATATTAAAAATCTATAATTATTGTTGTTTAATTTATTATTTAACAATTAAAAAGAAGTTTACTAAAAAGATTATTAATCATTACAAATTGGTTGATTTATAAGCGTAATTTTAATTTAAGTCGACGTCAAATTTTTGTACTCGATGCCCACCATGATCACTAACATATAAATTACCTTTTCGGTCGAATAATAAACCACTAGGACTATTTAACTGATTTGGGCCGTTACCTACTCCATTTCCACCAACGATAATTCGACCTTCTATGAAGCCTGTCAATTTCAACCACCGCATTATACGGTTGTTGCCAGAGTCAGCTACATAGACATTACCAAAACGATCGACAATCATTGCTTCGGGATGACTCAGTTGTCTGACACTCGTTCCTTGACCATCTACACCAGCAAGAACAATACCTACCTTTGCATTTTTTAACCATTTTATAACATGATGGTTCAACCTATCACATATATAAACAGAATAATCTATATCAACGAAGATAGAAGTAGGATCAGAAAGTGCTTGACTGAGTTCCCTGGATTGATTATTTACACGTGCAACGGTGGTTCCATTCTTATCACCTTGTTTCCATCGACTTACTTCATGTTTTTGCAAATCAAAGACATAGAGATCTCCGTTATTATCCATCGCCAGACCAGAACAATGAATATCTGAAATGATGATTTGTTGATTACTGTCATTTCGACGAAACCATCGTACCACCCGCCGGTTTCCACTGTCACAAATGATAAAGGAATCATTATTTATATCAACAATCATAGATGTGGGTTTAGATAATTGATCTGTTCGACTTCCATTTCCATTTCCACCTGCAACAACTTGACCAGTCGTTGCGTTAGATTTCCATTCAACGATACGATGATTTCCTCCATCGACAACATAAATTGTCTCATTATCATCATCTAAATAGATCATGCCAGGCCAGTGAAGTTGATTCAACTGATCTCCTTGTCCATTCCCTCCAGCGATTGTAATTCCATCTTGTATCCACTTAGTACTGATGTGCCCTAAAATCAAAGGAATTTGTATAAATTCTTATTTTAAAACAACATTAAAAAGAATGTGAAAGTAAAAAAGAAAAGTATCATTTTCGACAAACTAGCAAAGGTAAGTAATTAAGTTGACGAACAGTAAAATATAAATGAAAGAACAAAGCAAGGGAAAAGTCTCGCTTACAATCATAATGTGTCCTAATATACTGTCTCTACATGTGTCTGCTATATTTTCATTTTTGAGTCAGTTATTAACAAAATTTTATTAGTTCCTTTTACTTTTCTTTTAATAGAACCTATACCTGTTGTTGTTGTTGTTGTTGTTGCTGTGTCTTTCTTTATTGTTGTTATCGGTGTCGTGATTGTCGTTGATATTGCTTTTGAGATAATTATCTTTTTTTTT